GCCGCGTCCTGCAGGTCCCATCCCGCAGCGTCCTACCCGCGCGCTCCTCGCCCCCTTCCCGCGCAGAGGCGCCCGCCGGTGTTGCCAGCGCAGCCATGGCTCAGCACTTCTCCCTGGCCTCCTGCGACGTGGTGGGCTTCGACCTGGACCACACTCTCTGTCGCTACAACCTGCCCGAGAGCGCCCCGGTGAGTGGCGCGGGCTGTCTTGGGCGCAAGGCGTGCAGCTTTCATGGCGGCTGGGGCTGGAGTTTCCTCCTGTCTTAGGCTGCGGCGAGCACCGCCGGGGGCCTGCAGCCGCCGCGCCTTTGCGCAGAACTCGGCCTCCGCCCGCGAGACGGGACGGAAGTGTGCATCCCCGGTTCCCCGCCCGTGCCCTGGGCTCCGGATTTTTGAGCCCAGCCACTAGCCAAGTTTGAAAAAGGGTTGCAGAAGAAAAGGGAGGAGGAGACAAATTGTGCAAGATCGGGCTGGGGTAACAGCTCTTGGGGCAGAGGAAGGGCGGGTCTAGGAGAACTGGGGATGTCCTTTGCAGATTCCGGGCTTGCAACTTATCTGCGAGTCTTATTCTGGGCACCAGCAGCGCGCCTGCGCAGCCACCTCGTTAGGGGCTTCTATTTTGCTTGGCCGCATTTTTCCCTTTGCACCTGTCAGTTTTGAAACACTGCAGTTGGAGAGATTGCGTGATGTATTGGAAGGAATACTATCCCAAAAGACATTAAGATCTTAGCCCTAATCTTGTCTTTTAACAGGAGAAGAAAATACACATTGTGCACCTACCACGTGCTCCATGCACCTTAAATAAGTTCTAATCCTAACGACAGCCTGCAAAGTTTGGGTCCTCACTGCGCTTTGGTGGGGAGGGAAGGGTGGAATATGTATGATTCCACACCTGTACCCTCAAATGAATTGTCCTTCTTCCCCCATTACTTTGGTTTCACAAGAAAACATGAAAAATTCACAGGATTTTTATTTATTTATTTATTTTTGTCAAAGATCTAAGCATTCAAGCAGAAAAAGCTGGTTATGAGCACAGTGGTCAAAGCGAAGACTCTGTAGGGAGACTTCCTAGCTTAGGGCACCAGCTCCTCCGTTACTAAGTCTGTGACTTGGGCAAGTTACTTAACCCGTATCTATTCTCAGTTTGCCATCTGTAAAATGGGGCTAATAATAGAATGACCTCAAAAGCTGGTTGCAAGGATTAAATGGGTAATAGATGTTTAATGCTTAGAGCAGGATCTTGCACGGACACGTGTTTGCTTTTATGGGCACCATCCAAACCATTTCCAAGCCTCACCGTTTATGGATAGAACGTTAGGTCATTGGTGCAGACATCCACCAGGCTCCTTAATGTGAGGTCAGTGTCCCAGTCAGCAGTTCAGGTACCCAGTCAAGGGTCAAAAGAGAGTCTGAATTACTCCTGTTTTCTATTATGCACTTAAAAAAAAAAAAGTGTACTGTTATTATACTTTTCTGCTTTCCCACTGTACAGGTATTTCCTTAGTTATATCAAGATTTACGAAGGCCTCTTGATCCTTTGGCCGCTATCTCTAGGTCTTTGATTCATATTTTCCTTCCCTCTGTGCCTTTCAAATCCCCTCCTGGTTCACGTTTTGTTGTATCTTCTCTCTAGTCATCTTCATTTGGAGGAAATATTGTTAAAAACCATTGTCATGTTGCAGCCAATTTTGTGCATGTGTGAGCATGAGATTTCAGAGTACAAGATTCTCGAAGACAAGAATTCTTCAATACACACCTCAAATATAAGTGGTGTTTAAAGTTTGGAAACAGTAACCTAGTGTGCTTTGGATCCTGTTTGGTTTAGAAATCTTTATTAAGTACCAGCAGTGTGCTGAGAAATGTAAAAAAGTTGGGGGTACACAGATAACACACAGGCCTTTGAGTGGCCTTTTAATGGGCTAAGTTGCTCAAGAGTTAGCTCCAGTCCCCTGTGATGAGGGCAGGATTACCACCCTTGCTGCAGGCTCTTTGTTACCTGTGCCTGGGGCCATCCGCCCTTGTCATACTAACTTCTCGTGTGTCAGGTCTCATCTTAAATAGCATTCCCTTTCCTCCCCCATCCCACCTCCAGTTTTCCATAAAACCCTTAATTTCTCATAGCACTTACAAATAGTATTAAATTTTTGTTTACTTGTTGAACTCTTCCCCTAAAGCCTTAGAGCCATGACTTCTTGACATCTGTGTGTTCTTTGTATCAAGCTCAGTACTTGGCATATAGTGGGTTCGATAAATAATTGTGGAATGATTGAATAAATAATAGGTATTTTAATCACTGAAAATAGCACTTAGAGCCACTATTCTAAAAGGCGTTTTGCTTTGATGAACTGGTTTGATTCCTTACAACTGTTTGGAGAGGTAGATGTTTTGATCCTCACAATCACTATTTAGAGGTGAGGAAAACCAAAGCACAAAAAGGACAGATAGCTTATCCAGAATCACCCAGCAAGGTGGTCTGGCTGCCAAATTTCTGCCCCACCCCCTACCCCGCCCTCATGGTTTATGTGCTCTGCGAAGCCCAGAGGAGAACCCTGGAGTGAGTGATGCTTGAGCTGGGTCTCACCACAGGAGTTAGAATTAGCAGGTGAGGATGCAAAGTGAAAACTGTAGGCAGAGGAAATACAGCCAGGGCAAGGACCTAGAGGTGGGTGGCAAGCAGAAGGTGGGGAGTGGTAGCAGGAGAAGACGCTGGAGAAGTCAGTGGCAGCTGCATCAGAATGCTGTGAGCGCCTCTCACTTCAGTCTCATAGTCAATAAGTGCAGAGTGCTGTGCAAACTGGAACTGGACATGTCACCTCACCTGGCAGCTTAGGAAAGGCATCCTAGAAGTGATGACACCTATGCTCTCCTGGGGTTACAGACTCAAAATTGTATGGAACCAGGCAGTTACAATTGTGTGAGTGGCAGAGTGGGGCCTGTGACAGCCAGTGGAGTGCATGCCCCTTCTGAAGGGGCAGCCATGCTGGACTCCTACCAACATTTGCCAAGAGTAGAGACTCAGTCTTACCAGATTTAATTCTAAGACGAGTTAGAAATCTAGACTTGTGTGAGAGGTCTCTCAATTGTTAAATGTTAGCTCATTTTCAAACAGCAGGATTCTAGGGTTGCCGTATAGCAAAGAAAAATATATGACACCCAGTTAAATTTGAATTTCAAATAACAAAAACGTTTTTAGTATACATATGTTCCAAATATGTCATGCGTTATGCTTACATTAAAAAATTATTTGTCGTTTATCTGAAAATCAAACTTACATAGGTATTTCATATTTTATCTGGCAACTTCAGGTAGGAACCAAACATAAATTGTGGTCTGCATATGGCCCATAGGGCACCAATTTGCAGCTGCTGTGGCATGTGCATTATCAGTCAGGTGAGATTGCAAGGGAGGGTAAGTGGCAGCCAAGCCTGGGATGGGAAGGAGGCTGGTCATGGAGGCCCTGTGCCCCGTGAAGGCTTCTGGGATGACTCAACATAATTTAAGGAAAAGCTCCAAGAACCGAGGCTTTGGGACTAGTACAGGGATTCCAATTCTCTCCTGTAACAGGAACGCAGCTGTGGATGCCCCTGTTGGCAGCCCTACTAGAAAGGGCTCCTTTCTCTCAGGAAGAAACCTAACCTGTTGGAATCACAGGCCCATATCTTAATCAGTATTGCCAAGAGGTGAGAAACTCCCATTGTCCAAAACCAAATAAATTACCTTGACCAGAGGCAAGTCTAATAGTGTACAGTAACCATTGGTAGCTTGAAACTGGCCATGGTAGGGGTATTCATACCATGGAAATGGGCAAATGCTACAGGTCAAGGCCCCTTTTTAACCAGCACATGACTGATAATAATAGTAGTACTTAAAGAGCATACAAGCTCTTTGTTGAGAAGTCAGGTCTGTCAACATCAGGAGAATATTTATTTTGTGGTTACTTCTGGAGGCTTCCTCTGTCCTTTTCCCTCAGTTTTTCTTATGGTGGAAAAATAAGAGATATTTCCTGCATGCAATTGAGGTTTCTTGAGTCCTATTCTAGATCACCTGCCTGGTCCTTGTGAGAATTCCTCTTTGAGACTCCCCTGTGTCAAAACAGAAACAAGTAATGAGTTTGATATCCTGTATTCAAGGGAAAACATTCCATGGATTGGGGGAGTACAGCGCCTCACCAGCAATAGAGCACTCCCCAGGAAGGATTTTGGGCAAGAGTGAGTTTTCTGGAGCATTAGAAGAGGCAATGCGGAAACAGAACACGATTGGCTAGGAGTTCGCGGATTTCCTTATAAGACTAGCAGGTCCTGTTTCCTAGGGTAAGGTAAGCTACTATAGCGCAGTTGGAAGAGTGTGATTGGTGTCTCTTAGGTTTCCTAAACAGGTGTTTCCATCAGTGCAGGCTGATTTAGCTTTAGATTTGTGATGTGCACGGGGCCATGGGGGCAGCATCCATTTTGTGAGCCTGATATGTGAATTAACTTTATCAACTGAGGTGGGGCCTTTCCAGCAAGGTGAACCGAGGATAGATGTAATGATAGAGTGGTCAGTATGTTTATCATCTTGGTGATGTGTTAAATACGTTGATAAAGCTTTGTCAAGTCTTAATGATCAAGTCTTAAGAGTAAGTTGTATAATTGTGTACTGATGGCATAATTTTGGAGCATAAAAAAGACACTACAGCTCCCTGGGGCTCACAGGAGTGTTAAATTGCCTGTGAAGGGAGATTAAACTGCTTTACAACTCTTGCCCTCCCACCTGTCCCATGAGTGATCCCATTAGGTCTTCAGGTCTGTGATATTAAGAATGAATAGTGAATTTTATATTTTCTCTTTTTTTCTTCCCTTGTCTACAGCTCATTTATAATAGCTTTGCTCAGTTCCTGGTCAAGGAGAAAGGATATGGCAAGGAATTACTCACTGTGACTCCAGAGGATTGGGATTTCTGGTGGGTTTTTTTTTTTAAGGTCTGCACATTCCCTCTGATTTTTAATTGTTGCTGGTAAAATTTTAATGCTTTCTTTTCTATGGAGGCAGAAAGTGAAATGAGAAATTGAGTCAAAGGACTAAATGCCTTCTATATTAAAAGTTTTATGTTTAATGAGTTAAAGTCCTTTCTACTTTTAAGTTTAGACAGTTAATTAAATGTGAAAACGAGCTATGAGTGTATGTCACTAATTTGGATATTTTTTCATGGTTGCATCATTATTAAGAATTTCAAAGGTTATTAACTATCTCTAAAATTTACATCTTTTAAAAAGTATTTATTTTATTGCCCTTCAAATACAGAACTGTAGGAGAATAAGTGTCTCAATTAGGACATGGTTTTCTGTAATTTGGAAAGATATTCCTTTGTCTAAGATTTTTATTGCTTATTCCCTTCCTGAGTTAGGACTCTGGGTTTGGATTCTCAGCTTCCTGAGGCTTCTTTTGTCTTTCTTCCTCATTTAAACAAAATCTATTAAACCACTTTGAATTCATCAGATAAAAATTAATAGTAATCATAAAACACATCAAAAATATGTATGGAAGTAATTCTAGAGCAACGATGTTCATCTATAATACATTCTTCCAATGTTTAGTTAGTCCTTTTTGATACATTCTTTTTGTAAAAGGAAGAAACAAAACCATTTTACTATATGAACCACTGACTCCGAAAATTTTACTGTGGACCAAAGTAAATAATTCTTCTAAAGTACCCTGTCATTTTTTGTTTAATTTTCTTGGCCATTATGCCTCCTTGCTCTTAGTATTTATAATAATGAATCTGTATCTCTTTTTCTCCCCAAATCCCTCAAGTCTTTTTATATTGAAGAACCTAAAACTTAGTATTTGACTTTTCTTTTAGTCGTTTTAATAGTATACCTTGCCCCAGAGGGCTCCTCTTATAACCTGACCAAATTGAGGCAAAATCCAAGGAGTAAAGAAAGACTCTGGCTAAAATCTTAACTTGCAGAATATGATTGTGCATGTGTATGTGGAAGGGTGAGTGAGAGGTATGTGTGTTTTATTTAATGGAGAACATTTGTACATTTTAACAGATGTGGAATGATATTCATTTTTGTTCTTTATGAGCTTTGTATTCCTCTTTTTAAAAGCTTAAAGATTTTAGAAAGTAAACATGCCGTCCTTCCTTTGCTCACATAACAATTTTCCTTATATACTTGCTCAATGGATGATATTTAATTTTAGAATTTTTGGATGGTCTTAATTGTTTGATTAACTTACCATTCACCTGGGTGGGAGGATCCCTTTTGCACATTGTGACTTTTTGAAAATATAGATTATTTCTTGGGTTAGGTAAATAAATGAACAGATTGGTAATCAAACATTTCTATTTTAGTTGCAAGGGCTTAGCCTTGGATCTGGAAGATGGGAACTTCATTAAACTTGCAGATAACGGCACTGTCCTCAGGTAAGTTAGTTGTGAAAAACTTGACTCTTTCCAGGACATTATTATATAGCATTTGATCATTAAAGTATGGTTAAATATTATTTTTTTAGTCAATCAGGTGACAAATTGTCTGTGTGCCTGCAGTTCTTTGTATGAATGGTCTCAACCATTTAAATCTTAAACATTAGGCTTAAACATCTTGTTTCTTTAAATTTAGCTCATCAGAAATATTTGCAGGAAACACAGTAGAACATTAATAACTTGCTTTATGTCATTAACCAACACTACCGCAAAAGACCCTTGGAATTACATTGTGTTCAGTGGATATGTAGGTACCTGGAATAAAATCAGAGATAGAAGGAGCATGGATGTTGGGTAGGGGTTGGTGGTCCATTCATACCTCTCTTTCTTCCTCCATTTATCCAAACTTGCCTCCATCATGCAAAACTCATGCTGTATCCCATTTCCTTCTTTAAGTTTTTCTAGACTATTTGAACCTTCATCAATCTCTCTCCCTCTCCTGCACTCAGTGCTGACTATCTTTCCTTCCCGCCTCTTGGGAAGAATCCAACACTTTAAGTGTCGATAAGAGTAGGGCAAACAATTGAGAAGCAGCTCCTGTCACTGCTATGAGTCTTACAGAGGGCACCACGGAATGAGCATCTATTTTTTCCCCCAGTACTGATAGTACAAGCAAGTCAACATGGCCAGGCAGTTGTGCGATTTATCATTTATACTCATAGGAGAGGATGCTCCGAGCGGGTTATCCTTTATACATACTCTCTCTTTTGATAAATCATTCTTTTTGCACAGTACAAACTCATACTTTCCCTCAGACTTTCCCCTGAGGTGCAGCTAGCTAGAGCTTTGTGGCCCCGCTTCTGATCATTTTGTTATTCATTTGCATGTTTTTCCCTGGGTAACAAGACACATTGTAGCTTTGACCCTGACCTTTAACTCAACTGTCATATTATTGCAGTGTGCTTGGCTATCTTAAATCATGGGTAAAAGAATAGAAAACATTCCACAGTTTTGCTTCTTTCTTTCATTGTTGTGTCTGTCTTTCTCCCCTGCTCCCTGCAACCCTCCTGCAAGGTCTGACCCTCTCCATTTAAGTTATAGCTAACCTGCAGTTCATTATGAATTTACTAGCTTATCGCCTTGATGCGTGCTTTCATCCTTGTCTGATCATATTTCCTACTCAAGATTCCTCCATCTTTACATAGTGCTTTCTAAAATGTTAACCTCTTTACAAAAAGGAGCCCATTTGTGATTTTTCCTCCATCTGCCCTTTTTGTATCATTTCTTTTTCCCTTTATTTTGCTTTGCTACCACACTGTAACACCAAGAGAAGAAGAATGATACTCTCTAGCATTATAGTTTCTCATAATAAACTACATAAAATATCAGCTGTTTCTCTATAGGCTAAGCATCCTTAAGCAGGACCAACTGATGCAAAAGCAATATTATAAGCACTGAAAATAGCTACTTTCTTGTCTTGCTATTCTGTTTCATCACATATGTCTCGGTTGCCTTCCTTTATGTTTTTAGCCACACTCATGTCCTTGAGTGGACAGGTGGCTCGCCCACCCTCACAGTACTCTGTGCTCACAGCTGGCCCACCCCCTGGATGCCAGGCGCCTCCCACTGTTCCTGCTTACGTGCTAACTCTGCTTTCTGCTGCTCTTTCTCTCTTGCTGCCAGACCTAATCCATACAGTTGTTTTTTAATTGTTCCATTTAGGTTAGTTTTACCTTCATAGTTGTATGAAAACTTCTTAGGAAAGGGTAGTATCATAGATCTTTCAGAGAAATTATAGTTTCTACGTTATAGGTCCAGAGCAGAGACCACAATGTGGACCTCAGAGTAAGCTGCTCCTGATCGCTTGCTACTTGGTGGATGACATGGAGGAAGAACTAGAGCTGTCAAGGGAAATGCCTTATAGAATCCTACATGGGGAAGTCATCCAGTTGAAAAAAGAAACAAGGAAAACTTTTTATCAGTTTTAGACGGGATCAACAGTAGCAAGGCTGGAGGAAGGGGCATTCAAAGGAACCATTGATGAGCAGTGTGTCTCATCTCTCCAAACCAGGGCAAGCCATGGCACAAAGATGATGGCTCCCGAGGAGCTGGCCGAGGAATATGGCAGGAAGAAGTGGAAGTACTTCATGTCAGACACTGGAATGGCTTGCCGGTCAGGTATGACTCACGTGGGGCAGCACTGCCATTCCCTCCCCTTTTGTTTTGGACCCTGAACCTGCTACATGAGAATATGAAGAAGGCTCTTCTTGCCTCTTGCTGGGCAGGATGCTCAAGGGAGCAGCTGTGGTTTCATAGGAATAGGACATGTTTTTTCTACATATATCTGATTTCTCTTTGGCAGTTGGTTCTGTTTTATTTAACCTTTTGTTGATACTCCTTTTTCCTGCTTTTGTTCTGGAGTAAAAAGATAGCATTTAGGAATAATATATTCCTTAGTGATCTGTATTTTTATGTATATTATCTGCTCGGTCCTTACTTTTGTTTCTCCATCCTCCATTTCTCCCTGCATTCATCTTACCCACCTCTCTTTTTTTCTAGAATTCTGTTCCTTACTGCCAGTTCTAGTATCTTTTCCCTTTGTCTTTTCTTTTTCTTAATTGTAGATGATTTTATGCATTTTTCCCAGTCTTTAAAGAGCCTCACCATGGGTAAACATGAAAAGAGTTTTCAAAAATTATTTAAAGACACAGATGCACATAAAGTAACAGGGAATGATTAAAACATGAACAGATGTTATCAAAAGTCATAATTGTTAGTTTTTCATTTGTTCTAAATTTTTGGTCATCTTCTCTCACACTATAGTTTTGAAATGAACCTGTTCTCCTTTAGAAAATGTGGTTACCTGAAAATAGGGTTCTTCCTTATCACTATTGTGTTTGCATTATTTGTTACATTCACTATCTTTTGACAGTTTTGTTTTTGTAGAGAGATGAAAATGTCAGGAAATATGAGTGCTCTTGATAAAATAAGTTGATAGGAAAAACAGACTTCACATTGGGGTTAGATATAGAATGCTTTCACACATCTCAAGTCACAGTAACTAGTGGAAGTTAAATGGATAGGTAGCCTTTTCCTCAAGTGAGGATAGAGAATTTTTGTCTCTCTAAATGTAGACTATTATTAATAACTCAGAAAAGCTAGGCACATAGCTAAGTGTTTCACTCTGACATCTATTCAGAAACAGAGTGTATATTAAAGAGGTAAAATATTTTCCAGCTATGAAAAGAATATTCACCCAATCTGACCCACCTGTTTACTCACTGCTCTGCCCACTGGATGCCCTGCCTCCTAGAATCAACAGCTTCATTTTGGTGCTTAATTTACCCAGGAGCCCTCCGAGGATGGTCTTGGAGTTTATCTACTCTTAACTGGGTTGGTTAGGGAAGTGTTTCTCTTCCAGGTGCTTAGTGGTCAGGCAGTGACATAACAGAGACCTGTTGTTTCTGCAGAATAAAAAGGGAAAGCTAATGCCTTTAAAAAATTATACTTATTTTTTTTAATATAGAGACATATAAAAGAAGAAAGATAACCTGATTTTCCACAGCGTAGTTAAACTTTGTTTACATTTATAAAAGGTAATGTAAGCATATGGTTAGCAAATTTAAATATTATAGAAAGGAATAAAATGGTGATAATATCCAACCCTTGTCCCCCAAAGTTCCCTTTTGCCAAAGCTTATTTTTTTAAAGTATATAAAAGAGATCATACATTTTCTGTATTTTGCCCTTTCTAATTTATATCTTAGAGATCATGTCACCTTAGCACACACACTGACATACCTCACTCTTTTAAGTGGGAGCATGCTCTACCATCCACTGCCTGTCTCATGATTTATCAGTCTACTCTTGGTGGACATTTACATTGTGTCTGGTGTTTGGCATTACAGACAAGCTTGCAGTGACATTTTCATGCTTTATGCTTTTGTAAATATATCTGGGGTAAATTCCTAGAGGTATAGATGCTCTAAGGTTATGCAGGCTTAAATTTTTGATTAATATGGTCAAATACGGCCTTTATTTTTAGAAACTCCAGTTGATTTTTTATATACTGTTTCTTACATTGAGTGTATTCATCCTCAAAGGTAAGCAGAGTTGTCAGAGGCATTTCCAACCAGCACATTTTGGTGTTTAAAGCACTGATAGATATAGACATTTTAATGACAGTTTTTCATAGTCCCTTTTCAGATTGTTGACCTGGGTTAAGTATAGTTTTCCTTTCATTTGCTCCCCCCGCAACCCCACCCCGCAAACTGGCAGTTTATGCAGAAACAGCTTGGTATAGTGGAAGTCACAAGGGCCTTGGAACCAGTCCTGGATCATATTGAGTCTGTTACTTGCTGGAGAGAGTGATCTGGTCAATTACTAGGACAGTCTTAGCATCACTTTTCTCATCTTCAGATGGAGAAAATATCACATCTATAAGACAAATGAGACTTATGCTAACATAAATTGTTCTCTTACCCTCAATGGGTTCATTCATATGCCTTTGTTCCATTACCACTAAGGATATGTAGTTTGCAAAGGGAATGGTGTTGGCATTGTGTTCTTGGGGAATGTTTTTCTGTGTGTAAAACTTAATGAATATGGAACATGGTCTTGATTTAGAGACTTGTTTTATTGAACTGAGCTCACCAGTCACTTCACTTCCAATGAGCTATCTGCTCTGTAAGCAGGTGAAGGGTCACAGCCTTCTTGCAGTACAGTCTCAGAGTTTTTTGGTGTTGGGAAAGGCATTGAGAGCATCCTGGCCTAGTTAATGGGTCAAGGCTGAACAATTCTCATTGTGTCCATGGTTGACAGTTGAGTGATATCAGCCTGTTGCCTTGTGAATGGGAGTCAATGAGCCCTTCTCATTAAACTCAAGTTATTTGATTAGACCCAAATCAAGACTCATAATCAATATTTAAACTCTTGAGCTGAATTTCTTCCATTAATACCTACAAAGGGAGAGAAAAGAGAGAGAGAAAGCAAAGATAGACAGCAATGATGAGATGCCACAGTGCTCAGGACAGCTAGCCATCAGGTTCAGGGAGGTCCTTCTGGTGTCAAAGGCAAGAGATGAGATAAAGGGCAGGTTAATGAACCTTCATAAGCTGTGCCCACTGTCTGGGGTCCGGGGAACCTGGAGTTTTTTGTGGTCTTATAGTGTAGCAGGGCATGGGCAGAAATGTATGTGGGATATCATCTTCCTTTTGTTCCAGATTTCTGGCAAAGCCATTCCTCACCTTTCTTCAGAATGAAAAATAGTCTGAGATGTTACCCCAACAATTTCAGCTCTGAAAGCATAAAAAACAGGAAGACCATCAACCAAAATATTCTCAACTGAGAGAAAGGACACAAACCAACACAGCTGATTTGTGAATTAACAGGAGAACTTTGACTTTATTTTTATACATTCTGCATAATTCGACAATAAGAAGTGAGGGGCATTAATGATATTTAAAGGGCTAGACAGAGGATTCTCTCCTAATGTATACGTTACACTTCATCTTTCCAAAATAATCCATTCTGTTATTTGATGACTCATTCATTCAACAAACATCTTTTCGAGTGCCTACCATATGCTGGGTATTGTGCTTAGTGGATGCTGAGGAAAAGACAGCTGTATTCAATAACCTCATATAGTTTACCAATGGGAGGAAGTGAGACTTAAAATCAGGCAGTTGTAATACTGTGCACAAGAGTCATTATGACCATTTGAAAAGGGCTTTTCTTACATTAAATTAAATCTGGCTGTACCTATTGGTTCTGTTTGATTCTGCTTTCTACCAAGGTCTCTAGAGGACTTGATGGGTTTGGGTTTCTCCAAAGCAGAGTGCTTGCTGCTGATCCCAGCAGGCAGTGGTGAAATGGTGGAGAGGGTGAGACATGGAAGGAAAGAACACTGGGGACTGGATTCCACTGGGACTTCTGAGGAGAAGCACAGAGAATACCTCCCAGAGTTGTGAATCCAGGGGACAGGAGGCTGGGTGTTTGTTCACTGGCTCCTGACCCTGTTGGTTGAGACTTGCTACAAGAGCCGCGTGAGCTCCAGAGGCTTCCAGAGAAAACAAATGATGCAGGTGTGTTTGAGTGGGATGATGCTTTTCAGCACAGCTGTGGCTTGGATTAGACATGGGCCACAGATGCGACATGGTTCATCAACAGTGTCTGCCTATGGGCAGCAGATTCAAAAGTGACATCTGTAACAGAGAAGGGCTTGAGTTCAATTCTGCCATAGGGCCGAATAGGATAAGTCAAGTTCTCCTCCTCCTTGAGATCTTGGAGTGTGCCCGTCCTGTGCTCCTAGGTTTTCCTAGATAAGCACAGCGTGTCTTCACGTGATGTGTTGTTTTGTTTTGTTTTATTTATTTCTTTCATCACCCTGACTGTTCTTACACTGTACTGAAATTGGATAAAAATTAAATGTGGTACTGTATGTACGTGGGCCAACCAGCACAGATGTGGAAAGGCATTGTCGTTGAGAGCACTTCATGGTACTCCAGTGTTAGGCTGAGTGTTTTGAAATTCAGTGATGTTAATAGCATAGATTGTGGCTTTTTCGTAATCCATTTTATTTGGGGGATATAGCCTATTTTTAGTTTAAAAATATAACTTTAATATTTTTGAATAAAATGTTTAACTTATGGATATTATATTATAACTTTCTTGTAGTATCCTTATAGCTTAAACCTTTTTAAAAAGCCTGTGATGGAGCGATTTTTAATTGAAGTGGAGTCTTCTTTAACTAAACCAAAATCTATTGTCTCTTCAGCCAAGTTTATGTGTATGCCACACAAATGAGGCATTAATTTGTTCCCAGTTTAAACTTTTGTTCTTTTTTAGGAAAATACTATTTTTATGATAACTACTTTGACCTGCCAGGAGCTCTTCTATGTGCCAGAGTGGTGGACTCTTTAACAAAGGTGAAAAAACTTTTCATTTTTTAGAAAACTATGATATATGTATTTAATCATAAATCAGAGGTTTTATTATACATATCTTTTGAATTGAGATTTTACTCAGTTTCCTCTTTATGGTTTCAGAGGTGACTGAAGAAGGTAAAACAGAATTTGGTCAAAATATTTTTGGAAAATTAAATAGCAGTGATTGTTCTTTTCCCCAAGGATATAAATATATTCTCCAGCAGGGGGCGCAAAAGTGTAGGAAAAAAATACCAAACTTACATTTGGAAAAGTATTTTCCTGGTTTCATTAACAGAATTTTAAAAAGTCATTAAGAAAAGTCCACATAGCCTTAAGAATTCTAAATAATGTAAAACCAGAAAAATGAGATAAAATTTTTAAATTCATTTTAAGCACAGTTTAATGCATATATACTTTCATTTTGTACCATATATCAAAATTAAATAGATTTCTGGTTATATCAATTTATTCTTTGAACTTAAGACCCGTGACCCAATTTTATGTCAGATTCACTTTCCTTTTTGCACGTGTTGTCTTTTAAAGTCACAATGATCGTGTTTATAATAGAACATAGGCAGTGGTTTATTTTTTACTCAGAATTACAGTCATGTGTTTATGAAAGTTTCTGTGGAGTAGTAGTTCAGGTATGTTTGTAGAAGTTGTTAACATGAGATGGAGTCACTTTTTCATTTCATAGTGACTACAACCAAATGTATCAGTCTTTAAATATTTTGGAGTTTGTATAATTGGATATAAATATCTAGTAGTTGGTCTTTGTTTAGATGGAAATACTGCTTAATGTTTCCACGAAAGCAAAAGGTGGTAGGGTTGTGGGTTTTAATGTAAAATTTTATTTGCTTTCTGATTTGAAAAAATCTTAGTAAAGATGATTTACATTCTGGATTCAGAATCTCCTTGATGTCTCCTATAGAGACTCCTTGCTCTTTTACATTGAAATTCAGATAAATGCACTGAATTCTAAATAAACCAGCTTTTAGGATTTTAAGGCTTCAGGCTTCTTAGCCTCATAGTACATGAAGTAATATATTTTGATATCTCAGAGGCTATAACATTGTAAATTTACTCATGTTAAAACTGTTCTATACTTTTTATACTTTTATTTGGGCTATATGAGCTATGCAATATTTAGTCATATGAGTATATATCTTTGTAGCAGTGATTTTCATGGAAGATTTCTCTTTCTAAAATCACATTTAGAAGAATAAGTTTATTAACCTATTATGTATTCATTCTAAAACATGAGTCCCAATTTTAGAATATAGTATTGTTCGCCAAGTATTTTCTGCTATGCATGGAAACAATTATTGCGTGTATTACATTTAGAATTTATTTATTTAGAATATTTATTCATTTATTTATTTATTTATTTTTAGGAGAACAATGGTCAGAAAACATTTGATTTTTGGAAGGATATAGTTGCTAGTATACAACACAATTATAAAGTGTCAGCTTTTAAGGGTGAGTAATGTCAAGAGAGACTTTGTAGTAGGTGTTTGTTAAATGCTCTGTGTCTAATGAATTACTTAGAAGTTACCTATTCTGCTATGTTCCTTAATTGGGATTTAATTTGCCCCTAAATATCACTATAAAGTTGGTACCATTTATCTTTTAAGAGTTCCTTTTGCTTCTGTGTTTTATGGCCATATTTGCCTGTATTCTAAGCTGTGCTGTCTTTTGCATACCTGCCAATAGGGTTGTTCTGTCTGTTCCCCAGAACTGAAGTTCTAGCTTTGCTGTTTCCTGGCTTGGGAATGTAACCATTCATGTAGTAGTTATAGACAGTTGGGAAAAGTGAAAATTCCATTCTTGTTGCTTAAAAAACCTGACTGGTTGAGCCAGAATAAGAGCAGATATCACTAACCTGAGCCTAGGGATTCATGGTTCTAGTCATAGATTTGCTTGGGTTACACAGATTACTTCTAAGGAATAGAGATGCCTTTATAGTAAGTTACCCTGGGGACTTCACCCAGACTGTTCTGGTTCAATCGATGGGCTGGTGGAGGCTCAAGAACAGTATTTTCCAGCCTAGAAAAATATTGCCTTTTGATCGACATAAAAATTGCTTGCCTTCCTTTTATGTAATTTTACCATCAAAATAATCCTAAATATTATGACTAAAAACATTTCAAGGCAACAAATAGTGACCGCAGAATATATGTTCAAATTAATATTTCTCTGCTTTTTTTCCCTCCCAGAGGAAAGTCATTGTTGTGGGGTGATTGTCTCACTTTTTTATGCCTAGCCACCAGCCCTTCACCCTGGCTTAGAGGTCACATGTGATTCTGAGGGTGCCTTTTCACTCTCTGCACTGAGTGCTAGGGTATGTGGGAATGCCTGTCTCCAATAGAGAGGCATATCCATGACAACCATAAAGCCACCCACCACTTTATTGTTTTACTTTCTATTGGCTTTGTAAAATGAAAAGCCTTAAAAGAAGGGCTGACAAATGCAGATTGCTACTGTTAAATAAATTTCACATAAAAATCTATTGATGTTATTTTATTGCATTGTAAATAAGGAGTAGGTAAAACATTTCATGCTTTAATAAGTGAGGCGCAGCTTAAAAGTTTTAAACAGCAATATAAAAATACAGTACAGAGCATAAATAAATAATGTCTCTTCATTTCTAGGCAAATTTTGAAACCCTTGACATTAGTTATAATTTCACTGGAATGGGAGGCATAAGGTACATACGCTAGTGTTTTGTAAACCCGCAAAGTCATATTACATAAAATTCAGTGAAGGAATTAAAGAGATCAAATTAATCACTCTTGTGTTAAATAAATACAGTAGGTCAGATACCTACTCCCAAGTTGTGAATAGTGTGTAGAAAGCTTTTCTGCAGTCACAGAAAAGTTCAAAAAGGTTCAGGACTAAAGAAAGCACCTTGCATTTCAGGTTAATTTTAACATACCATTTTGGATTTTTATGAGAGCTATAAAAAGTTCATATGCACCTCTGTATTTGAATAGATCTGGATGCACGGGGCCACATAAGCCTTCGAGTAATGCACCATCAGAAAGATCCTATGGTATACAGTGTCTTTTAAATTTGAATATTCAAGTATTTAAGTTCTTTAAAGTTATGAAACCTCCTAAATGTTTCCTAGAAGTTCTCCTGTTAGTTATTAGAAACAGGCTTATTTTAAAAGGAAATGCTGAGTTTCTGAAATAAAATTTATCATAATTTGTCATCACAGATCAGGGGTCTTTTTGGTAATCATTTTATATTATTTTAGCTTAAATTTTTAAACACTGAAAGGACTCCACAGAAAACTTTGAAGTCTTAGGATTGCTGACTAGAAATTTGAGAGTCTTCACGTATCGTTTACTATTGCTGCTCACTTTTTCAAGGGGGGAATTTGTTGGTCTGAAAGCTCAAATCTGTATTTTAGAAAATTAGAATGAGTCATATTTTTTTCAGCCTACCTTCATATGCATTTTGTGGGATGGGGTGAAGTTGAGGAATGCCTTTTCAAGCATATTTATGTTAGCTTGGTGGGAATATGCTCACATTGGAGCTACTAAGAATCCTGAGAAAGAGGAGTGAACATACTCAGAGGAATATAGGCCATTCGACTCAGCGTTGGGCAACTGGAGCCACACCTGGTCATTTTCTGTAAGGTCGATTATGGCGCTTCCCGAAGCCTGATCCAGGTAGCCCTTGGCGTATTCATCATAGGTGTACATTACAGGGGTGCCGTTCTTATACAGACCTACCCAAACATGGGTCCCTTTCACATGCACATGGTATGAGAAATAGTATATTCCTGGTATCCTGCAAGTGAAGATTCCAGTTCTTGGGTCATAATGCTGCTGCCTGTTATACAGAATCTTATCAAATGGGATGGGAGTACCTATTGCTGGGTAAGCTTTGGAGAGAATAACGGTGAAAGCAGACACAGGCATTCCTATTACACCCTGATTGGCACTAACCAGAGGCATCCCAGAAAGACTGGGCCTTTGGCCTGCCTTTATAAAGCCCTCAGGAAGGGCTGCCTGACCTGGGGGGCCTGGGGGCCCTGGGGGACCTGGGAGACCAGGCGTTCCAGCATGGCCTCTCGGACCTGGAGGCCCTGGTGGCCCAGTGGGTCCATTGAGGCCCTTAGTCGCTATGCCAGCGGGGCCAGGAAGACCTGGAGTTCCTGGATCCCCTTTAGATCCAGGGAATCCTGGAATGCCTGGTGGCCCAATGGGGCCTCTGGTACCTGGTATTCCAGGAGCACCTCTTGGGCCAGTCTCACCGTTGTGTCCAGGCATTCCCTTAGCTCCTGCTGCACCCGCAGGGCCTGGGAGACCACGAGGTCCTTCCACTCCAGGGTCACCTTTTGGGCCTGGTAATCCTGGGTTACCCTTAGGACCACTGAGACCTGGTTCACCTGGGTACCCTGGTTTTCCATCTAGACCGGAGGCACCTCTTTCTCCTTTAGCACCTGGGAGTCCTGCAGGCCCGAATGGCCCCGTCTCGCCTTTGGGGCCTGGGATCCCATGGTTGCCTGGTATGCCCTTTGGTCCTTGGGGTCCCATATTTCCAGGGGGTCCAGTCAGACCTGGCTCCCCAGGATGACCTGCTGGGCCTTGTTCCCCTTTAGCACCTGGACTCCCTGGAAGGCCGACAGGTCCCCTTTGTCCCTTCAGGCCTGGCAAGCCTGGTTTCCCAAAGCCAGGAGCCCCTGGGGGCCCAGCTATTCCTGGAGCCCCAGGATGACCTTTGGTTCCCGGAATCCCTGGCTGGCCTGGGGCTCCAGCAGCTCCTGGCTTTCCAATGCCTTCTGGTCCTCGTTCCCCAGGAGGACCTTGGGGGCCTGGTGGGCCAATTGATCCCCTTTCTCCTGGAAATCCTCTATCACCTTTGATCCCTGGCTGTCCTGGAAACCCATTTTCGCCTCTTTTTCCCATTCCAGGAGGGCCAGGTGGTCCCATGGGACCCTGAGGGCCTGGAAGGCCCCTCTCACCTGGGCGACCAGGAGCACCGTATCCAGTTTCCCCTTTCTGTCCGTTTATACCAGGAACTCCTGGTGCACCCTTTTCTCCAGGAAAGCCCCTGGGTCCCGGGGCTCCTGGGGATCCCTGTTGTCCAGGTTTTCCTGAAACAGAAATTCCAGCTGGGCCAGGAATTCCAGGTGGTCCCGGTGGGCCCCGTGGGCCTGGTAAACCAGCTGGTCCAATATCTCCTTTTGGTCCATATGGTCCTCTCTCCCCTGGTTTTCCTGGCAGTCCTGGCAAACCTGGCTTCCCAGTTCCTGGTGGTCCCGGTGGTCCTGGCAGCCCTGGCTCTCCTTGGGGTCCAGGACTTCCATAGCCTGGTTTTCCTGCTGGTCCAGATGGACCTGGGTGCCCTCGAGGTCCAGTAGGGCCTGGTGGACCTGGAATACCTTGCTCTCCTCTTACTGGTATACCTAAAAGACATGCCCAGTACACACACCCAGAGAGAGAGTTGCTTAGAAACGTTAAAAATAGTCATTGCTTCTTGAAATATGAATCATGACAGAACATTGCAGTGTCAGTCCATTTTGGCGGACTGTTCTTAAATGGTTTCAGATAATACATTTTATATTGTCCTAAAAAACAGTGCTAGAGAAGATGGTTTCACAAACCCATAGCTAACATAATACTTTCATTACATCTAATGATCCGTGAAAATAAGCTAGGATTTACAAATTCATCTAGAATAAGAGTGTAATGGAGGCAAATTTATTATGTTTATTTTGGGAAACTCATCTGTCTAGAAAGGAAAGGAAAAAAGGTGTGACAGAAAAGGAAGAAAAAGACAAGTGCAGAATAAATGAGTAAATATTTAAGAACTAGCACAACTTTCCATCACAAACACTATCCTATGAGACATAAATAAGAAAGGTCCTTAATTCTGATTTACATCAGCCATGGCCCTGCTGAGCACAGTTGAGATTTAAGTTGATTTTCTTTCAACCTCAGTACATACCATGAGCTCTTACATTCTCCATTATTGACTTAAAATTGAAACAGAATTAGAGAATTAGGCTTAATGGGAGAGTACATAAAAAGTGCTTATCTGACGTTTTCCTTGATAAATGCAAATAAATATTATTGATTTCATAGAGCTGTGGGTTCGTTTGAGCTATAACTACTTCTACTAATATAATAAACTTAAAAATCGCTTATTTATTAAGTGCTTGCAAGGTGGAAGTGCTATTGGGCCACGAATGTGGGGGAAGCACAGAGCACATCTAAGAGCTTCAGTCACACAGAGAATAAGACAAGTATACACGTGATAAGTGCTCTAAGAGGAGTCCACGTGCTGTTTTAGTCTTTCAGAGGTGAGATATAACAGCGTTGCTGGCATTAGGGTATACCATTAGGGAACTATTACCATGTCAAAGAATCTTTAGGTAGTAATCACCATAAGCATCTACATAAAATATCCATTCTTTCTCAGAATTCTTTAACAACTAGCAGAGATGGTAATTAAATTATATGATTTTAAGTATCTGGTTGCATAATTTACATTAAAATCATCTTCTGTTTAATAAACTTTAAGAAACATAATTAGGATTTCTGCATATATTATTTAGATTCTCATACTGTCAGAAAGTGGTTCATAGTAATGGTAGCTTTAGTAGATGTCAAAGTAATCAAATAGTTTGGTCAAAACCCTGAAAATCACAATGACTTTTGAGCCACATTGTTTCTGTACAAAAATGGATAATATACTTAAACTCTACTTACCTAAATCTTTAATGGTTTTAAAAATCAAGATGAAGACTAAATTAGAATTAACATTAAATTAATTGAAATTATAAATTGAATTAAAAATCGAAATAAATGGAATTAAAAATTGCTTTTGAAAACATTTTATGATTATAGTTCCCTTTATTAGTTGGTACATTATTATATTTTTAAGAATCTTTCATATTAATTAACTGGCATGTTAGACGTAGTCAGCCAATAGAAGTAGCTAATATTATTCTCTTGGGTAGATATATTCCTGATGTTTGAAAAACATTTGGCGGTAAATGGGGTATCAAAAACAGAGCAGAATCATAAAAATAGATAACTGAAATAGGAAAATCATTTTAGACTTGGTTATCTTTATATTTTGCACTAATTAGGTTTATATTTCATTTCACAAATATTTAAATGTAGCTTAATCTACCTATGGATTTTCAGTAAAGGATATCAGGAAAAGGACTGAGAAAAATTAACTTATGGAAAAGATTTCCATATAGTAACAGAAATCTTGAAATTGACTTTAGTGTACATATATGATATCTACATATAAATTGGTATCCCAACATTGCAAATAGAATGAATAAATAAAAGATTTCTAAATGATTTGGAATAAAAGCATTATTTTTAAAAATGCAAACTATGTTAGATTGGGGTTTGCTTCAGGATCTTATAAAGATCATGTTCAAACTAAAAATAATTCTTAGTCTTTTTGGAAATCTGTTTAACTGTTAAAATAGAAGGGAAAAAAACAAGTCTTATTGAATATGACTGCATTCGACACCACATGAGACTACAACGCCAAGGATAAAGTGATCTCTGCCACTAGAAATATGATATATTACGTGTGATATATACACATCAATTCAGTAATGTACCCTAATGGGTCCTGCACCTCTCAATTGAAGAAAGAATGTGACTCCTTTTGTATCCTTGTGGGACAGCCCCTCTTTGTAGCTTGCCATCTGAACAAATTAGAGATTTGGGTGGTACTATCCTCAAGGAAAAACAATTACCTAGTAGAGACATTTCTTCAATGCCCACAAACTGAAATAGTGGTTGGTTGTGTCAGAATGTGCTACCCATGTGCCCAACAGCTGTGGAGTCCTCTGCAGCATAATTTTGTGTGTTTTGGCTGACCTCTCATTTAACCTGTGTTGAACGGATGTGTTTAGGAATTACATAGGCACTCACTGTATTCTTAATAATTTATTGGTATAAATTGTGGACTTTTTCTCTTTGTTCGGAACATTAATGCCTGCCAATGGATGATAATGTATTTGAGTTTCCACTTTGTATTACCAAGTAAGAGTAAGGTAGATTTAATAGTTAAAATACAACTTCTAAAATTTTCATTTGTGAACTATATATATATATACACATACACACACATATATTTATATGTGTGTATATATATATATATATATATATACACACACATATAAATATACAAGATACCTATTATTCTGCAGAAATAGCCAAGATGATATAGTACATTAAGGTGGGAAGATAGAAATATTTTTAACCTTCTAAAAGTGATGCATTTTATTTTTAATTTAAGACTGTTTCATTTATGATCTTGTAAACTATATAAAGTCTTAATTTATAATCATAAAGAATATAACCCAGTGCTGCCTGTCATAGCATTTCAGATTGCCATTTGTTGCTTTAAGTAGCAGGTTTCCTTAACTTTTATTCTTTCTTTCCTAACTTAATCACTTTCTCTTATTTTATTTGTATTGTGAGACATTCAAGAGTATCTGTTGTGCACCTGTGCATTTATTTTAAACTACCTTTCATGAAATATTTTAAATTTCAACTTTCTTAGACAATCCTCTAATTTGTTCAAAATGGTTGTCTCCAAAAACATAATTTTAAAGTTAATGGCCACCTGAAAATTATATAATTGTATTAACCAATGTTACCCCAATAAACTTAATTTTAAAAAATTAAATAAAGTTAATGTTGAATACCCTTAGCTTTAGTTGCAGGATAAAATATATAACTATAATGAAAAAATATTTTGGAAAGGAAATTTGAATTCCACGATCAATTCAGATTATTCAGTTTAATTCGGTAGATACTTTATAGGCAGTGTGTGTCAAATGTTATTACATAGAATTAGTGAATATAAACTCTAATCATTGCCCTTCTTTGAGGATCTGTTAGCACCTTGCATACATTATCTCAGTACTCTTACCGAAAAGGAGCCGAGAAAGCTGAACAGGTGAGGGGTAGATTCAAGAAGAAAGTTAAAACTTATCTAAGGTAACACCACCATCACTATAACAGGAAGATGGGAAGAGGGGTGGAGATGGAGAGGAATAATAGAAAAAACAGAACTAGAAGTAACTGAAATAGTATAGTAGTAGAAGTAGAAGTACTAGTAGCAGTAGTGGTAGTAATAGCTAACACGTAAGCACTTTACACATATTATCTCATTTACACTTCATAACAGACCTTTGAGATAGTTATTCATTTTACAAATGCGGAAACTAAGGCACAGAGAGGATAAATAACTTACTGGAGATCGCATAGTCTGTGCGCGCTTAACTGTTAAACTATACAAAAATGTATAAAAATTATGAAAATTGCTGCTTCATTTGCCTATTAAATATCTTCAGAGGGTGTCAGATTTTATTTGATCATTAAGACTCAATTTTGTACATATTTCTGCTAGAAGAATAGGTTTTGAAAGCATGTTTTAAGTTTTTAGATATATAAATCTGTTATTCTTTTTGTACAATTGGCAATTATTTTTAATTAAAATATCTTGAACATGATTAATTTTTACTGGATTAATATTTTTAAATTATGAATAGTTATGCAAAAGCATCATTTGAGAAAAAATTTTCAGGCACAAAGGTTCTTAATATTCTTCAGGCATATCTTTCTACTATACTTATTGTGTAAAGGATACTAATGTTCTTGAAAAAACCTACTTTTTTCACAAATCATTTTGGGCTAATTCTACAGTTTGAAAGTTATTTAAAACAACCAACTAGTTAACTGAGCAAAACATACAGTTCAGTTTACCTTTACTCTTTATGGCATAAGGAATGAAGAACTGTGTCTTGGTGTTGGATAGTGGGCCTTTTATGCCTGTAGGTGTTTGGTATCTCTCAGCATAAAACTCTCCATGAACCAAGTTCAAGAACATTAGCAGCAAAAGGGCTATTTGTGGCAGCATGTTCTCAGATGGATTCTGAAAAACAAAACAATAATTTCATACAACTTTGTTATTGACCTGTTTTATTTTTTTAATGTTACACAAGTGAATTCTCTATATGGTTACCTACTTTTTTTTACCTTATCCTATGTATTTCGAATATATTCGATAAATTAATGAGTTATAATTTTTTTAGTTATAGTGTCTTAGTTTTGGAAACCACATTCAAGTAATCAAGTAAAACAGAAGTGATTTAAAAAAATCGTAATTGGATGTCTCTATTAAATAATTCAAGATCTTTGGCATAGATAAAAATATCCAATAGTTCAAATTCGGATTAGGGCATGTTTTTCCAAATCTGGTTTTATTAGGACTGTCTTTTATAGAGACTGATACAAATTAAACTTTCTGAGTGCATTTTAGTAGAAAACCACTTTTTAATCACAAAAATCCAAGTAGTTAATTCACTGAAACTTGCTTCCAAGCAAGCTAACATGGAAATTCAACTGTGAGTATCGAGTCATAGACTTACCTGAGTGCTAGGAGTTCTGGAGATGATTTCTTGGAAGCTTTCTGAGCCCTTCTGTGCCCAGGTGAGCAATGCAGAAGATGCTCTCTCCAGAACTGTCCTGCAGTATTTATACTGTTTTCCTCTTTCTACGTGAGGTTACCCTGAGCTTAAGCTCCTCCCTCAGAGATGGAAAGCACTAATTATGGTGGAAAGTTCTATTGGGCAGACAAACAAAATCAGGTTGGGCTGTCTTTTTTCCTTGTTTTCTTATTGAAAAATAAACTCTTTGTCTTAAATATATATTAATAGTTTTAACCATGCACCATCTTTTTCTGTGATTTTATTTTAGAAGTTATTAGTCAGATGTTTAGGTTAGTTCATGATGTGATGATACTACCCCCTTTATATTTTTAAAAAGCACATTCTTGTGTTATTTGGTTGAAAATATTTGTTAGTATATAAAAGTAGGGGGAGATGTCTTTTGGAGGGGGGTGTGGATTTAAACCAGCATCTAAATTCCTCCATTATTACATAAAGCCATCAATGTGTCCACTGACATTTTTAAATGTTTATGAAAATAGCTTACCCCAATTCTTCCTTATTTTTAGGCTTGAGATTGAAATGCAGTGGTGAAAATGTAGGTATGCTGTTTTGTATTTTAGTATAAGTCTTCAGAAGTTAATAAGAGATTTTAAATATGATAACAAATATTTCAAAAATTTTTTCGTAGTAAATATTTCAGTTTTTCCAGACAGAGGCAAGACATCCATGAAGTTGATAGTTAGCAATATAATTACCTCAAAGGATTTAGTTAGTTTATAGCACTATATACTATGTTCAGTAAATGACTTCTAAAGATTTTATTGCTTAATTTTGGATTTTACTTTAGTGTTGCAGTACAAATTGCAAAACCCTTAAGTTGATAATGTCATGTTATGTCTCTTTAAACAAGATCGTTGTGTTCATTTCAAAAGGAAAAGATTCTTCAAACTTTGCTTTCAGCTTTTTTAAAATTATCATTGTCTTACCTTGTCATTTCCTTCAGGGATCTCGAATCAGCCCAATTAGAAATACTTTTTTCCTCAAAGATGAAGGTAAACATTATCATTGTCATTTTCAATGGTTAGTATTCTCTTTAACAATGCTAGGAGACTCTTAAAATCAGTTTTAGCATCTTAAAGAATCTACTAAAGATAGTAAGTTGAGAGGCCAAAATTTGTATCTTATTTTATGTACTTTTGGAGCTAAATCAGATCAACTATACAGTTGAAGTAGGTGAGAAGGAGCATTTCACATACAGGCACAGACATACCTTTTTTTTTTTTATCTCTGTCGAATTAAAATGGTAAGGACTCAGGATTGGTCAGTAATTGAAATAATTGACTAGCGGACAATTTAAATAAAAGTTTATTTTTCTTTTCCCTCGCATACAATTTTGTGTCTTTTAAACAAAGCCTTGTATAGCACCTTGTAGAAATGTAAATGGATAACATCTCACTGCCTCCCATTCTGTTCTCTTAACTCTCATTTTTAAATCTTTTATTGGTTGCCATATTAAAAATCTACATTGTCAAATATCTCTTTATATAATACTCATAGATACACATGAAATGTGGCTTTATGTCACTTCAAGTGATATTAAAATAATCGGAAAGTCTGTATTCTAATCATTCTTCCATCATTTGGAAATTATGGAATAGCTTTTGTTATGATAATCTGTACTCCACTGTGTCTGTAAGAGACCACAAAAGGTAAGTAAGAGAAAATGGCCAGCTTCCATCTGCTTATGGTTCATTTGGACAAGATTTTAGAAAAGTAGGTGGAGTAACATTATGGATGCTCTTGAATGCTAGGCCGAAGAATTTGTTTTGAAAGGAATATTTGAAATACATATTCTAGTATTTTTATGCGTATGTATGGTTATACACACACACACACACTTATTTGTTATTGAGATTGATACCCTTTAGATAACATGCATTTGAAAGTTAGATTAATTCTCAGCTCTTCATAGGTACCATTGTACATCTGCATAAACTGTTCAGCAGTGGCTACTCTAACTATTTTCAGAGATTTTCACTATAATCTTTCTAGGTGTCTGTTTTTTTCATCAATGCAATGCAAAATTGGACAAGGTTTTTAAGCTCCTCCCAGCTTTAACCCATTTCTCGTTTGCCCTGAGAATACTCGCTGGTGGCACTTGGACCAGCAGCGTTTACCGTAAGATAACTCGCGGATTACAGCCCTAACTTTACCCCCAAAGTTTGCCACAAAGTATTTTGCTTTTATTGTTATTCTTTCATTGCTCTAGTATATCAATAGTCTTTGGAAACAAATGACGTCATTCTATTTATAGCATTGTGTTTTTAGTAGTGATGTTTCCATTTACAAAATATAGTAATTCTCGATCGCTGAAAATGTCAAATCAAATCCTAGAAAACGGAGCATTCCTACGCGTGATGTTAAATTAATGCCGTTTTTTTTTTTTTTCTAAAGGGGAAATGGGTTAAAATTAGATTGTTCTGGTGCTTGAGGTATTCTGCTGTTCTCCATGGTCAGACAGTGGGTAGGCTTGGCTCCATTCAGTACTTATTAAAGACAAAATCCATACCAGGTGGTCATATGCCTTCTTTTGGGCATATGTAAATATATGTGGGTATTTGTCATTCTATATTCCCCCTTTGACTTTGGAAAATGTGGTGTTTTATTGAATAAGCCTTGGATGTTCAACCCTTTTTGCAAATAGTGTACTTATTTCAGCACAGAGAATCTGACTACTGTTTGCTTTGTTAGTCACATAAGAGGCATGGTCTTGTCCAAAACAGATTGTAGAATCAGAATATTTGCTAGCCACACCCCACCCAATTGTGTATTTAAAACTATTTTTATTCTCAGAGTTTACTTGTAGCTGTTTGAAGTGACTAGTCTGTGGCTTTATGATGAAAACCCATTCCACTTAAAACAGAGAGCTATGCTTTTTAAACTCAGTAACTTAAGTGATTTTTTAATATTAAATATGAATGATGTTTTTACACATCTAACATTTAGCTGCTATTAAACTCACCTATTCATTTTCACTTCCCGGGGTCATTCATTAATTCACCAGCTATTTCTTGAATACTACTTATGTGTCAGGCATGGAAATAAAAACTAGGTGAATAACGTATTAAATACCATAAAGCCCATACCTTTATGGTATTTAAACAGTGGTTCTCAACCTTTTCCCTACTTTCACAGTCCTCATGGATATTACAGATTCCTTCAGTCTTTGAGGTTCATTAAGATAGTGCTGGTTCAGAGTCTATATTTTGAAAAAGCTCCACAGGTGATCATCATGGATTCCTAAGTTGGAATGTCTTAGTCCAATATCAATTCTATTACCAGCTTGTTAATATTAGCTACATAATTTTCTGTTGTTTTTGTTCATATGGTTTCTAACTTTATCATAGAAAATGTCTTTTATAGAAATAGAGAGCATAGTTAAAATGAATGCCTGTATACCCATCATGCAACTCAAACTACTCTCAACTCATTGCTAATCAATCTTTCTTCCATTCACCACTCCTCAATATTTTGAACAAATCTCGTATATTGTACCAATTCGCCTGTGAATATTTTAGCATATTTCTCCAGAAGATAAAGAGTCCTTTTTCTTTAAAACAATATCTTCATCATACCTAAGAAATTAACTATTAATGTTATTCAATGCTTTAGTATATGTTCAGATTTTCCCAATTATGTGTGTATACACACATTGTACACACACATTTTCATATATGTAAATATACAAATATAAACATAGTTGCACACAAACATATATATAGTATAGATGTATACACACATAATACATATTCATATGTATTTTTATTGATTTATTGTTTGTTCAAATAAGGTTCATGAATTATCCCTAATTGATAGGTCCCTGTAAATGTAGGTTTCTAATCCATGTCTCTTTTTCCCTCTGCAGTTTATTTGTTGAAAAGCTAGGTCATCTATCTCCTACAATTTTTTACAGTTTGGATTTTATCACTTAAAATACTTTTCTGTGCCTTTTATTTCTTGTAAATTGGTAGTTAGATCTAGAGATTCAATCTCATTCAGGTTTGAGATACACACACTCACTCACTCACTTTTCACACAAATACTTTTTTAGCAGAAATACTTTATTGGCAGTGGTGTGTATTTCAATCAGAAGGCCTTTCCTTGTTGGTTGTCTCTCTTTCTGTGATGTTAGTAGGCATTGATCATTACCTAGACATTGATTCTATTCTGCCTTTGTTTATTAGCTAGAACATTTCTACAAAGAAAAACACTCCTTCATTAACTATGTAGTTACCCTGAAGTACAGGTAGTATAGAAAAAGCAGATAAATACCTTCATCAATATTTAAAACAATAAGCTTGTTTCCTGGCATCCTCCAGAAGTGGCGTAGGAGGGTGTTTGAGTATCATTATAAACTCATGGATTTAAACATGTCTTATGTGTTTCGATCATGGCAGTTATTATTCTTATTATTGCTCAGAGTTTTCCCCA